TACTCCTAGATCATTTCCTACATAACGCATAGTTCGACCCTCTTCAAGCAAAGCGATAGCTCGGGAGACATGCAATTCAGTCAGATCTGGCATTATGACCTAAACTCACGCTTCAATGAATAACAATACTCAAAAGGCTCACTTCAATTTCTATTAATACTCAAAAGATTGAAAAAAACTACTTAAAATGTGTTTTCTGTGATTAGAAAGTAATGAAAATTCAAAGACGTCACTTTGTTTTTAGGTGTTTCTAGACACACTGCCACTTTATTATAGGACTACTAACCAAAACGCCGATGCTCTTTTGTTTTTTATTTTCTTCGACAATGCCTTAACATTATCTAGTGGCCAGTAATAATTAAAACTTTAAGTAAAAAGTTTAGTTCTACTTTAAAGTTTTGTTCCCGTAATTGTTTTGAGCAGTATATATAAAAATGAAACCCGTTTTCCGTTGTCACGACATAACATGAAAACGGCTTGACCGATTTGTCTGATTTTTTTTTGTTGTGTTTGTAATTGTCAGGAGAAGGTTCTTATAAAAGAAAAAAATAAATAAAATGCGCGGAAAATTAGAAAATTTATGAATACTTAACCACCATACAATTCGAACTTTTTGATGTAACTTTATGGCGTTTGACATAACATTGACGAATTGAAGAATGCGTGCTGCAAATATCGTCAAAGAGGATGTAAGAAAAATAAATATCGTTTAAAATAAATGCTTCGATCGGAGTTAGGTATTATATTGATAATATAATAATATGCGAGCCAGAAAAACAAACAAAGAATGTTGTATAACATAAAGCATTAGAATAATAAACACTTTGTTTCTGAAATATTGTTTAATTAATTATACGAATTTGAAATCAATATTCATAGTTAAGACAGGACAACGTCTGTCGGGTCCGCTAGTTAATTATAAAAAAATATAATAAAGCCGTTGTAATTCCTAACAATACAATTAACATATCAAATGGGTGTTTTCAATCAATGTTGTCTTTATTGTTAGCTATTGTTATTTCATGTCTTGGAGTATGGACCCCTTTTGGTTAAAAGCCTCCTACTGAACTTTCCATTTGGATCAGTTTATTGCTTCTTCCATTTCTCACCAGATTTTTTTTGTAATACCGTTAGCCCATCGCTTTTGTGGTTTTCCCACATTTCTTTTCCCTGGAGGTCCCTTCCAAAGCGTGGTTTCGGCGGTCTATCTCCGGTATGTGTCTGGCAATATGGCCGGCACATTTCCATTTAAGTTGAATGGCGTCAATAACGTTAATAAGAGAACTTCAAATAGACCGTAATCTTAGACATAATCACAGCCCAACTTAATAACTATGGCATTCAATTTAAAAATATCTTAATGCGGAAAGCCTTAATAAAAGGATATAAATTACTTCAAGAACTAACTCTCTTACGATCTCTAAACTACTTATGACAGACAGAGATAAAAGATTCGTTAATACATAATCATCATCAACCATTCGGGCAGTGTGTAACAGTAAATTTTATAGAATGTTGACTTCTATGAGACCATACTATATTTATTAGAAGTTATTTCATAAGTAATAATTAGAATCTTCGTAATTAATTCAGCCTGTTTATTTCTAATGCCAACGAGATTATATCATGGTTTTCTTTTATAACAGGAGGCAAACGGGCAGGAGGCTCATCTGATGTTAGTACATGGCCAGAAGGCTCGCAAGTGAGTTGTCAGCTGTTTAAGAATTGGTGCTCTAAGATTAATTTTAAACAGATGTTTAACATTAACCATCCGGTTATTTTTATTATCAGAATTTAAAATTATAAATCAAACGTCAACTTCAGTCTGCTTTTTGATATAATTGGTAGATTGCTTTTTGCAAATCCAAAACACATAAATTAAGTAATAGGTCAAATGTGAGGATTTACACCTAACATGACATTACAACACTTTGACACTGATCATTAATTTATCTAGAAAAATATTTGCGAGATCAGTTGTATATCTATACTAAATTTTGAGATTTTTTAATTAATTATCTTAATTTTACATATACTATTTTAATCAAGTAATAGCAGTGTTGGCCTAGGGGCTTCAGTGACTCTAAAACCTGCGGTTGTAGGTTCGATCCTCTGGCTGTGCACCAATGGACATTCTAACTATGTGCGCATTTAACATTCGCTCGAACGGTGAACGAAAACTCGTGAGGCAGACTCAGGAGGCTTTTAGAAACAGATACAGAAATCTGAGGCCCATATCTAAACAGGGTATAGCGCCACTGATTTATTTTTTTATTTTAATGAAGTGTACGTAACAAATAACAATACCTAACTATTGACTAGCTGTTGTATATTTGTGTATATGAAAAAAAATATACATAAGTGACATGAATGCTGTTTTTAAGTTTAATGTTCTATCTAAAATAATATTAAGAGCTTTTGAATAACGTTACAACTTACATATATATTAAAACTTAATTTTATATAAATTAAATTATTGTTTTGTTTAACTACTTTTGATTATCTCTTGTTATTTTATTTTATTTTTCTAGTACCGATGTATCAGTGTTTCGAGCGTTGGCAAGCAATAAATAAATAATTAAACCGAAATCGATTTCAAGCTCACAATCAAGCTATTGATAAATAGCCAACACTTAAATTGGTAATGACCGTATCTGGAGTATTTTTCTTTGACGGAAAGGATATTATTAACTAAGTATGTGATATTTGAATACATTCAAACAAATAGAACCCCGAAATTATGGTACTAACTTAAAGTAAAAGTGATGAATAAGAACTTGTCTGTGACCTTTGATGTCGTAAAATTAACTCTCAAGTTCAAAGTTATATAAATTGTTGATGTTTCAAACATGTCTAGCTTTTAATCAGTAGTCAAAAATATATGAACACTGTAGTATTTTGGTCGGTGCTCAAAGAGTATAAACTGGGATTTCCACCAATCTTATATGCCATTCTTAAAATTTTATTTTACTTCAGCCTTGCGATTCTGTAACTCACTGTCTGATAAGGAGGGAGATTGTAGTTTATTGTTTATCAGAATGCCAAATCGTAAAATGACTGCTTTACGACTGATTTGAGCGCGACCGCCGCTGTGAAAACCGCTGTGTGAGTTCGAAAAGTGAGTTACAGAATCGCAAGGCTGAATTATTAAATTTTTGCTATATTTCCTCATTAGATCCCTTTAACCAAAATTTATATTTAGATATCGGACTTGTATGCCTCGTAAATTGCCTTAAATTTGACAAAATAAGAATAATAGCCTTTATTCAGATACATTTACATTTAAACATATTTCTATTTTGATCCTCGATTCTCCTTTTCGAGTATTCAGCTACGTATTCTATAATACTATTATTTAACGGTATTATTTACTTTCTGGAATTGGTCATTACTCGGTATTCATTCTAAGACCGACCAACCTGCTTTCCGTGTTAAGGTCTGTGACCAACTTCTCCAGATCATCGCGTGTTGAGGCAAATAAAATCAGATCGTCAAACCTTAAGTGGTTCAATCTTTCGCTGTTTATTAGTCCTTATTTATCCCAACTTAGTTTCCTCACTTCTATAAACCCTCCTTTATCTATAATCCCTCTAAATTTATCCATTTTTATTCTAGTTTTTCAATTGTAATTTATATTCCTGATTGTTTTTATATATGTATTGTTTATCTTCTGACTTTGCAAGGCTTGCCATATTTTTTCATGTTCCAGAGAGTCAAACGCCTTAGTATAATCAACAAAACAAGAAGATTGGGAGATTCTTTGCTTTTTTACAGGATTTGCCTTACTACGAAGATATGGTCTTATGTCGAATATCCGCTCCGGAAACTCGCCTGCTCTATAGGTTGGTTGTCATCTAAGATTTTACTAAGTCTATGTAGAATTATTTTAGCGAACACTTTGTATATATTTTTTATAGAGCTTATGGGCCTGTAATTGTTGATATCACTCCTGTCCTTTTTTATGTATTAGTGTTATTATCGAGTTTATCGATTGTTCCGGTATTGATTCCGTTCTGATTATCTTATTAAAGAGAATGGTGTAAGTAGGTACCAATATTTCCTTTTGGAATAAATCAAGTAAATTTTTCTCCAAGATTAAGAAGTATTACGCCATCGTTAACAAAAATTATCAAACAAAAACCATATATATATAATATTTTACATACGCTCCGCATCCTTGACAAAGAAAGGGTAAAAATAAACTGTAAATTAACGACTTAAGCTCTTCTCTACTTATTAAGGGCTTTACTGTGTTCGAGTTTCGTTTATAATTAGATAATTTTCTCAATCTGTAGAGATTGAGTTTATGTAAGTTAAAATTAAATCCACTATTTCTTAATGTCGTGGCGTTTGAAATCCTGAAGGGTTACTTACACCAATCACCGCATTATAGAAACCAATATTAGAAAAAACTGTCCAAGTACTTCCAATTGGATTTTTTAAGTAATTTTTATTTGACACGTATATAAAACAGAGGTAAACATTGTAAGTTATTGGATATAAGAAAAAATCTTTGGAACTACTGAACCGATTTTCCAAAAGCTTTATTATTCTTAAGTGAAGTGTATTTTGTAAGAAATTGGAGTGTATTTAAGTCATAGTCTTCTATTACTTCTCCTAGCCTCCAATCTAATAATTGCTGTTATTAGCTAAGTAAGGGTTTTTTCCTTTGTTAATATAGTTGCAAGATACGCATTGTCTTTGTTGTTATAGTCTAGTTTGAGCGAATTATTTATTACTTTGGGATTTTAAGGGTAATAATCTTCTTCCCCCATGGTTACTAGCCGGAGCGAAATATTAACGCGAAAATATTACTTCTATACAGTAAAAAATCGAAAATATTACTTCTATACAGAAAATTACCTCGAAACTGCCGTACTATACACTAGCTTCCCTGTCTTATTATTATATACCAAAATAAAACGATGGTTAACTAATTCAGACTTTATTGCAATACTTCAATTTGACATAACAATCTCGACAAATTCCCTAAATCGTGCTTAGAACTTCTTTGCTGCAGCCTGGACAAAAGGTGTGTGGCTGGCGATGTACTCTTGGGCGCGGAGAACATGCTCTGGGACTTTGGGGACGTGGCTTCCCTGTAAAAAAGACATATTATTAATATATATATATATATTAATTAATTGTAATAATCCAGTGAGACCTCAATATGGGTCTTGTTGGTCTCTCAGATTGCAAAATTGCAATTCTTTGAACATTTTATTATAGAAAAGTGTATCTGACATATGTGGACGTTGTTCTGATAAAAAATTGTGTAATGAGATTCAAAAACTTAACTTACTTTAATGATAGTTCTGTACTCTTATGTATATCGAAATTACACTGTAGGTACTCTTCAGCAATCTTGCTTGAGAACAGCCTATATGAGTGATAACATTAAGTAGGACTTACGGTTGGCTGGTATCCAGCTTCGTTGGCGATGTAGTAAAGCTCAACTGGGGTACCGTCAGGGGCTGTGTATTTCACGTTTCCTGTAACTTCGAGGGTAGCGGCTTCCTGCAAAAGAGCACACAGTTATTATGCAACTGGGCAGATCTGCTACACACATAAAACCAGTAAATTCTGTGTATCAGCATTATCTAGTATAGTAGTCCTAAAATTGTTAAAAAGTATGATATAGTATTTGAATTTTTTAGCTTTTTCTGACGTTAACTAAATAGTATAAAGATATATACGACTGATACATACATAGGTTATTATGTAATGTCTTTGCCAGATATATTGTTGTAAATAAAGGCAAGAATGTCACGAATCACTCTACTCATAATTTGGATTAAATAAAGACAATTTTACTCCAAGATTAGGTCGCCCATAACAGACATAATATTTAATATCAATAATTAGGAAGTATTACGCTATCGTTAACGAAAAATAACAAAACAAAACCATAAAGAATATTTTACATACATTAACGCTCCGTAGATTACCATTTAAATATTTGTTTTATCCTTGACAAAGAAAGGTCAACAATTTTAATGAAATAAACTGTAAATTAATGACTTAAGCTCTTCTCTACTTATTAAGGGCTTTACTGTGTTTGAGTTTCGTTTATAATTAGATAACTTTCTCAATCTGTGGAGATTGAGTTTATGTAAGTTAAAATTAAATCCACTATTTCTTAATGTCGTGGTGTTTGAAATCCTGAAGGGTTACTTACACCAATCACTGCATTAGAGAAACCGTTCGTATTAGAAAAAATGTTCTACTTCCAATTGCATTTTTTAAGTAATTTTTATTTGACACTTATATAATACAGACGTAACCGTTGTAAGTTAGTGCATGTATGAAATAATCTGTGGAACTACTGTATCGGTCTTTCACCGCTAGAAAGCTTAATTATTCTTAAGTGAAGTGTATTTTGTAAGAAATTGCAGTGTATTTTCCCTCTGGATTGTGGCTTAACGTAATTGAATAATTGAGTTTTAATCTAAGGGCTTAAAGAATTTAGTGATCAGGTAGTTTATACAGGCCCACACGATAACTGAATTAGAAAATGTTATTTCTTTTAACAAAACTTACGCTGTTGGGGTTCTTGACAACACCTTGGGCTTCCTGGACGATACCGTTGCCGGCTTCGAAGGCGTAATTGAATCCGGTGCCATCAGGTTTGTTGTCAAAGTTGGACTTGACGATGGGGACCTGGTAGTCGGGGGTGACGATGTGAGACACATCAGCGCTGGCGCAAGCCACGGCGACGGCGAGAACGATGAGGAATTTCTGTAGAAAATTTAAAGTTATTTTTATACGGCCGAAAGAATTAAAATTACAAATTAATGTATCAACATAAAAGTTGACATATTAACTTAAAGATCAACTTTTTATATTTAAATTATTCAGATAATTATCAATATTATTGATTTAAAATATTTAATTAAATATAATAAAACTTTAAGCTCTTACCATATTGTTAGTTATGAGAGCTCGTAATGAACAGTGTCTGATTGAATACACAGGACATCTTTTATAGGTAATCCAAAATCAAGAATTGAATTTATTATTATCTGGTTTTATGCGAACTTGTAGCGTCTGGTCATAGAGGATGTTGCACAGATGCACCTACGTCCATCAGTAAAACAGTATTAGGATATTATTCTATGAATATTTATCTTCATTTAAAAAAAATACAATACACTTTTAGGCTAAGATTATATACATAAATGATGTATTATCTAAATGTTATATATATCATTAAGTAAAAAAAAGTTGACATATTTATTAACTTATAGAACAATTTTTTCTTTTTAAATTAAGTATTGATTTGTATTAATAAAATTGATTTAAAATATTTAATTAAATATAATAAAACTTAAAGCTCTTACCATAATGTTAGTTATGAGAGCTCGTAATGAACAGTGTCTGATTGAATACACAGGACACCTTTTATACGTAATCCAAAATCTAGAATCTATTTATTATTATCTTGATATATGCGAAGTTGTAGCGTCTGGTCATAGACGATTTTGCACAGATGCACCTACGTCCTTCAGTAAAACAGTATTAGGATATTACACTATGAATTATTGTATTTGTTATTGTTTATAGAACAGAGGGAAAGGCCAGGAGGCTCACATGATGTTAAGTGATACCGCTCCGCCATGGACACTGTATTATAAATACTGTATTATCTAATTAATGTTGTTTTTAAGATTAAAAAAAATTCAAATCATTAATACTAAAAAAAACAGTGGCGCTACATCCTTTTAAGGTCTGGGCCTCAGATTTCTAAATCTGTTTTTTGATCATTTGTAAATATTTTCTTTATGTTTTTTTGGCAAGCCGGTTTCCTCAATTAGCTTTCTTTCACCGTTCGAGCGAATGTTAAATGCGCACATAGAAAGAAAGTCCAATAGGGAACAGCCGGGGAAGACGACCTCAGGAATTAGAGTTTCACGCTGAAACCACTAGGAAACACCGCTCCTGCCGTGCTAATAATTTAACAAACTACACTATTACTATAACTACACTATACATGGTGTAATGGTCGCAGCTCCTTACAAACATTGTGCAAAACAAAAAACTTGGCGATTAAAAAGGTTGGCGGAGGTTTATTGCCAGTTCTTCTCTTCCGTTCTACGCCCATGATTTGAGGACTGGCAGTAAAAGTAAAATTAAAAGCATTTAATAAATATTTATTTTTCGTAAGTGTACATTGTGCTTTATGAATAAATGATTTTGTTTAATTAGAATATGTTTTATCCTTATGACTGTCGTCTACTTATATACTTAGCAAATAAAAAAAACGATGACATTATTCATAAATAGTTGCTCCCCTCACACTTTGAAATCGATTTTCGTTTAGTTTTTATATAAATTAAATTATTGTTTTGTTTAACTTCTTTTGATTATCTCTTGTTATTTTATTTTATTTTTCTTGTACCGATGTATCAGTGTTTCGAGCGTTGGCAAGCAATAAATAAATAATTAAACCGAAATCGATTTCAAGCTATTGATAAATAGCCAACACTTAAATTGGTAATGACCGTATCTGGAGTATTTTTCTTTGACGGAAAGGATATTATTAACTAAGTATGTGATATTTGAATACATTCAAACAAATAGAACCCCGAAATTATGGTACTAACTTAAAGTAAAAGTGATGAATAAGAACTTGTCTTTGACCTTTGATGTCGTAAAATTAACTCTCAAGTTCAAAGTTGTATAAATTGTTGATGTTTCAAACATGTCTAGCTTTTAATCAGTAGTCAAAAATATATGAACACTAGTATTTTGGTCGGTGCTCAAAGAGTATAAACTGGGATTTCCACCAATCTTATATGCCATTCTTAAAATTTTATTTTACTTCAGCCTTGCGATTCTGTAACTCACTGTCTGATAAGGAGGGAGATTGTAGTTTATTGTTTATCAGAATGCCAAATCGTAAAATGACTGCTTTACGACTGATTTGAGCGCGACCGCCGCTGTGAAAACCGCTGTGTGAGTTCGAAAAGTGAGTTACAGAATCGCAAGGCTGAATAATTAAATTTTTGCTATATTTCCTCATTAGATCCATTTAACCAAAATTTATATTTAGATATCGGACTTGTATGCCTCGTAAATTGCCTTAAATTTGACAAAATAAGAATAATAGCCTTTATTCAGATACATTTACATTTAAACATATTTCTATTTTGATCCTCGATTCTCCTTTTCGAGTATTCAGCTACGTATTCTATAATACTATTATTAAACGGTATTATTTACTTTCTGGAATTGGTCATTACTCGGTATTCATTCTAAGACCGACCAACCTGCTTTCCGTGTTAAGGTCTGTGACCAACTTCTCCAGATCATCGCGTGTTGAGGCAAATAAAATCAGATCGTCAAACTTTAAGTGGTTCAATCTTTCGCTGTTTATTAGTCCTTATTTATCCCAACTTAGTTTCCTCACTACTATAAACCCTCCTTTATCTATAATCCCTCTAAATTTATCCATTTTTATTCTAGTTTTTCAATTTTAATTTATATTCCTGATTGTTTTTATATATGTATTGTTTATCTTCTGACTTTGCAAGGCTTGCCATATTTTTTCATGTTCCAGAGAGTCAAACGCCTTAGAATAATCAACAAAACAAGAAGATTGGGAGATTCTTTGCTTTTTTACAGGATTTGCCTTACTACGAAGATATGGTCTTATGTCGAATATCCGCTCCGGAAACTCGCCTGCTCTATAGGTTGGTTGTCATATAAGATTTTACTAAGTCTATGTAGAATTATTTTAGCGAACACTTTGTATATATTTTTTATAGAGCTTATGGGCCTGTAATTGTTGATATCACTCCTGTCCTTTTTTATGTATTAGTGTTATTATCGAGTTTATCGATTGTTCCGGTATTGATTCCGTTCTGATTATCTTATTAAAGAGAATGGTGTAAGTAGGTACCAATATTTCCTTTTGGAATAAATCAAGTAAATTTTTCTCCAAGATTAAGAAGTATTACGCCATCGTTAACAAAAATTATCAAACAAAAACCATATATATATAATATTTTACATACGCTCCGCATCCTTGACAAAGAAAGGGTAAAAATAAACTGTAAATTAACGACTTAAGCTCTTCTCTACTTATTAAGGGCTTTACTGTGTTCGAGTTTCGTTTATAATTAGATAACTTTCTCAATCTGTGGAGATTGAGTTTATGTAAGTTAAAATTAAATCCACTATTTGTTAATGTCGTGGCGTTTGAAATCCTGAAGGGTTACTTACACCAATCACCGCATTATAGAAACCAATATTAGAAAAAACTGTCCAAGTACTTCCAATTGGATTTTTTAAGTAATTTTTATTTGACACGTATATAAAACAGAGGTAAATATTGTAAGTTATTGGATATAAGAAAAAATCTTTGGAACTACTGAACCGATTTTCCAAAAGCTTTATTATTCTTAAGTGAAGTGTATTTTGTAAGAAATTGGAGTGTATTTAAGTCATAGTCTTCTATTACTTCTCCTAGCCTCCAATCTAATAATTGCTGTTATTAGCTAAGTAAGGGTTTTTTCCTTTGTTAATATAGTTGCAAGATACGCATTGTCTTTGTTGTTATAGTCTAGTTTGAGCGAATTATTTATTACTTTGGGATTTTAAGGGTAATAATCTTCTTCCCCCATGGTTACTAGCCGGAGCGAAATATTAACGCGAAAATATTACTTCTATACAGTAAAAAATCGAAAATATTACTTCTATACAGAAAATTACCTCGAAACTGCCGTACATATACTAGCTTCCCTGTCTTATTATTATATACCAAAATAAAACGATGGTTAACTAATTCAGACTTTATTGCAATACTTCAATTTGACATAACAATCTCGACAAATTCCCTAAATCGTGCTTAGAACTTCTTTGCTGCAGCCTGGACAAAAGGTGTGTGGCTGGCGATGTACTCTTGGGCGCGGAGAACATGCTCTGGGACTTTGGGGACGTGGCTTCCCTGTAAAAAAGACATATTATTAATATATATATATATTAATTAATTGTAATAATCCAGTGAGACCTCAATATGGGTCTTGTTGGTCTCTCAGATTGCAAAATTGCAATTCTTTGAACATTTTATTATAGAAAAGTGTATCCATGGACGTTGTATCTGATAAAAAATTGTGTAATGAGATTCAAAAACTTAACTTACTTTAACGATAGTTCTGTACTCTTATGTATATCGAAATTACACTGTAGGTACTCTTCAGCAATCTTGCTTGAGAACAGCCTATATGAGTGATAACATTAAGTAGGACTTACGGTTGGCTGGTATCCAGCTTCGTTGGCGATGTAGTAAAGCTCAACTGGGGTACCGTCAGGGGCTGTGTATTTCACGTTTCCTGTAACTTCGAGGGTAGCGGCTTCCTGCAAAAGAGCACACAGTTATTATGCAACTGGGCAGATCTGCTACACACATAAAACCAGTAAATTCTGTGTATCAGCATTATCTAGTATAGTAGTCCTAAAATTGTTAAAAAGTATGATATAGTATTTGAATTTTTTAGCTTTTTCTGACGTTAACTAAATAGTATAAAGATATATACGACTGATACATACATAGGTTATTATGTAATGTCTTTGCCAGATATATTGTTGTAAATAAAGGCAAGAATGTCACGAATCACTCTACTCATAATTTGGATTAAATAAAGACAATTTTACTCCAAGATTAGGTCGCCCATCACAGACATAATATTTAATATCAATAATTAGGAAGTATTACGCTATCGTTAACGAAAAATAACAAACCAAAACCATAAAGAATATTTTACATACATTAACGTTCCGTAGATTACCATTTAAATCTTTGTTTTATCCTTGACAAAGAAAGGTCAACAATTTTAATGAAATAAACTGTAAATTAACGACTTAAGCTCTTTTTCTACTTATTAAGGGCTTTACTGTGTTTGAGTTTCGTTTATAATTAGATAACTTTCTCAATCTGTGGAGATTGAGTATGTATGTTAAAATTAAATGCACTATTTCTTAATGTATTGGCGTTTGAAATCCTGAAGGGTTACTTACACCAATCACTGCATTAGAGAAACCGTTATTTATTAGAAAAAATTTTCTACTTCCAATTGCATTTTTTAAGTAATTTTTATTTGACACTTATATAATACAGACGTAACCGTTGTAAGTTAGTGCATGTATGAAATAATCTGGGGAACTACTGAATCGGTCTTTCACCGGTCGAAAGCTTAATTATTCTTAAGTGAAGTGTATTTTGTAAGAAATTGAAGTGTATTTTCCCTCTGAATAGTGGCTTAATGTAATTGAATTATGGAGTTTTAAAATTTAGTGATCAAGTAGTTTATACAGGCTCACACGATAACTGAATTAAAAAATG